GGTGGACGAGTTGACGGCCGCCGTCATCAAGAAGTGCGCCACTGAACGACCGCCTCGACAACAACGCCGACATGCCAAGCCGGATGCTCCGCCTCGCCAGCCACGACCCCAGCAACGACGGCAGCGACATGGTCAAGACCCGCCACCAAGATACGACCCGAAGGCTGCGTCACGTATCCAGAAGCTCTACCGCAAGTGCCGCCCACGCGCCTTCAAAGAAATAACAGAAGAAACATCGCCCTTCTGTCAAATCCCGGCAGCCGAACTACAGCGACACTTTGAAGCTGTCTTCGGACCCGAACATGAGCGTGACCTTCCGGACCAAGCGCAACTACCGCCACCAGTCCCCACCCTCGACCCACTACCCGACGAGCAGGACAACCCATTCAAGGACGACTACAGCAATGCTGAAGTATGGGACCGTCTACGCTTCGCCAAGAATACAGCTCCGGGACCGGATGGGATACGGTACGCCTTCTGGAGGAAGTTCGACCCCGGCGGCCGCATCTTGACCGCCATGATGAACGCCGTCCGTCGAGTCAAGCACATCCCCAAGGCATGGAACGAGTCAAGGACGATCTTGCTCCACAAAAAAGGCACCAAGGACGACGTCACGAACTGGAGACCCATCAGCCTCTCCAACACAGCCGCCAAGCTCTACGCGTCAGTGATGGCGAAACGACTCGGGCGATGGGCCATCCTCCACCAACGGATCTCCTCCGAACAGAAGGGATTCATGCCAGTCGACGGATGTGCCGAACACAACTTCTTGCTCCAGGCCATCATCGTTGAAGCACGCCGTGACAAGAGGATCGACAGCAGGGCTTCCATCTCCTGGCTCGACCTCTCCAACGCCTTCGGATCCGTGCCACATCCGACGCTGTTTCGATGTATGAAGTACGCCGGACTGAATGACGATGCGATCGACCAAGTGCGACGACTATACAAGAACTCCACGACGACCATCCGAAGCGCGACGGGACCCACGGCTGCAATCCCAATCCAATCTGGAGTCAAGCAGGGGTGTCCGCTCTCGCCGATCATCTTCAACTTGGCCCTCGAACCACTCATCCGCGCCGTCGCCCACCTCGGACTCGGCTTCCCCATCGAAGGACGTCAAGTTGGAGTGCTCGCCTACGCCGACGACCTGGCCGTCATCACCAAGGACCCGCAAGATCTACACACTGCCCTCGACGTCATCACCGAAGTTGCTTCATGGCTCGGCCTGAAGTTTAACGCGAAAAAATGCGCCAGCCTGGTCATCGACGGATCAAGGAACGAGGCCCTCAAGACGAAATTCCGAATCCAGGGTTCTCCTATGGCCACCCTGGACAAGGAAGACCACTACGAGCACCTGGGCGTTCCCACCGGCTACTACTATGGCAAGTCGGCGGAGACGACGATCACGAAGATGCACAAGGACCTCGACAAGATCCACGACTCCTTGCTGGCACCGTGGCAGAAGGCTGATGCTGTGCGGACGTTCATCCTGCCCTGCATCGGCTTCCACCTCAAGAATGGCGAAGTGGAGAAGAAGAAGGTCCTCATCCCCTTCGACAAGAAGCTCAAGAAATACGCCAAGTCGTGGCTGAACCTCCCCTCGCGTGCAAGCCCTGAACTTCTGTACTTGCCCAACTCGATGGGCGGGCTCGGCTTGATCGAGACCAAGACGCTGGCCGACATCATGCAGCTCGTCCATGCCGTACAACTCCTCGACTCACCCGACCTCGGCGCAATGTCTGCAGAACTCGTCACCAAGGCCGCCAAGATCAAGCTGAGAAGACCACCGTCCGAGCAAGAAACCGTCCAATACCTCAACCAAAAGAAGGACGGTGACTTCTACACGAACTCCACGGACGCCAAAAACGTATGGTCAAGACTTCGGCTTGCCACGGGACGACTCCGCGACTCCGACAAGCTCGACATCGAATGGAGATGGGATGAAGACGAAGGAAGGGTTCGACTACACGTTCAAGGCGAAGGCGTCAACAAGAAGAACTGTGAGCGAGCCCTCAAGAAAGCCGCCCAAGAAGCTCAACTCGCCAGCCTGACTGCAAAGAAGAGCCAAGGCAAGACGTATCAAGTGATGAGCCGCCAACCAACGTCCAACTACTTCATGCGAGACGGACGGTTCCTACGCTTCGCCGACTGGCGGTTCGTCCACCGAGCTCGCCTCGACCTCCTCGCCCTCAACGGCTGCAACCGATCCAGAGGACACGCCGACAAGCGCTGCCGGAAGTGTGGCTACGCTCTGGAAAGCGTAGCTCACACCCTCAACCACTGCCACGCCCATTCACACGCCATCCAACTTCGCCACAACGCCGTGCTGGATCGACTGATGAACGCCTACAAGCCGCTCGACGACGACAAGATATACGTCAACCAGAAGATCCCCGGCACAGATGGACAACTACGGCCCGATTACACGATAATCAACGACCGCCTCAAGACCATCACCATCATCGATGTGACGATGCCGTTCGAGAATGGCGATGTGTCGATCTTCGAAGATGCACGCCGTGAGAAGGAGCGCAAGTACCTGCCCATCCTCGACAAGTACTCCACCGACGGCTACGACACGTTCTTGGGCGCATGGATGGTTGGACCACTCGGAGGATGGGACGCCGCGAACAACGACATCCAACGAAGGCTCAAGATCTCCGTCAAGTATGGCCAGCTGATGCGTCTTCTAATGGTCGCCGACTCGATCCGCTGGAGCAGGGACATCTACGTGGAACATGTGACGGGCCAGCGCCAATACAAGCTCGACAACCCCCCAATAAAAGAACCACAAGCGATATCCATTTTCTATCTCTGTGAAATGCTCTTTATGTGCCCCCATCTAATTCTAATTTCTCACAAACTGTGTGAATTCGAATCTTAATTTCTCACTCTTCAAATTTGATTGTAATCTTCCCAAATTGGCGCTTAACCGCCAATCATGTATGCATTTTTAATCGCGCATGTGACTTGTGTATCTCCGGCCCTCGGGCCGAGCATGTACTGAATAAAATTAATCTGTTCTTATCGGCTTAATCTCCGGTACGTGTTCTATTGAACACATCGAGATTAACATATTTTTGGAAATGGTACGGTTCGCAGAAGCTTGCTTCTCGCCGTACAGCGTCGGCCCGGTATTGCACCTACCGCCGGGAGCGGCGCACACCCCACACGGGGTGAACAATTCAAAAAACGGAAACAGCGCAAAAAACTACGTACTGTATGTTTTTAGTAAAGTTCGGAATGGTAGATAAGGGTTTTGTAGTTTGTAGCGGGTCTCGGAGTCTGGACCGGGGACGGGGGCGCAGGGGCGATTTATTTAGCTGCCATTCTAATCCACCATAATTCGATTTCGTTTCATAAAAATATATATGAAATATAGAATTAAATACAGTAGATTTTAGTATAAATTACTGTATTGCAGTACGTTAGAGTACAGTGTTAATAGCCCCAGGGTGCCGTATCAGCAAATCGACGCACTAATGCTAAATCCCAGTTCGGTCCTATAACCAAATCTAATCCCGTTCTATAGAATTTTAGACAGCTTTTAGATAAAAAATATCATAAGACATCCCAAGAGACGCTTATTAACATTTCGGTGCTTTTTAACTTTTCTAACATCTAAGAAATCTGCCGAAGTTCCGGGAATCCATGTAACGCTTTTACATTTTTGCTTGCGCTCTCCGTTATCCGATAATATTTTGATTTTAGGCGGACGACTACGAGACTCGGACAAGCTCGACATCGAATGGAGATGGGACGAAGACGAAGGACGGGTACGACTACACGTTCAAGGCGAAGTCACCAACAAGAAGGACTGTGAGCGAGCCCTCAAGAAAGCCGCCCAAGAAGCCCAACTCGCCAGCCTCACTGCAAAGAAGAGCCAAGGCAAGGCCGGAAGTGCGGCTATGCTCTGGAAAGCGTAGCCCACACCCACAACCACTGCCACGCCCACTCGCACGCCCGACCTCGAACCCATGGCTGCCCAACTCGCCCACAAGGCCGCCCAGCTCATGCTCAAATGACAATGTATAATTGGATCTGTTCTAATCTGTCGGTGGGACTTGGGCGTCCCCACCGGCTACTACTATGGCAAGTCCGCGGAGACGACCACTGCGACGACTGTACAAGCACTCCACGACGACGATCAGAAGCGCGACGGGACCCACGGCTGCAATCCCAATCCAATCTGGAGTCAAGCAGGGATGTCCTCGCTCGCCGATCATCTTCAACCTGGCCCTCGAAACACTCATCCGCGCCGTCGCCCACCTCGGAGTCGGCTGGCTTCCCCATCGAAGGACGTCAAGTTGGAGTGCTCGCCTACGCCGACGACCTGGCCGTCATCACCAAGGACCCGCAAGATCTGCGATTGCCTCGACCTTCCTGGGCGCCTGGATGGTCGGACCACTCGGAGGATGGGACCCCGCCAACAACGACATCCAAAGAAGGCTGAAGATCGCCGTCAAGTATGGGCAACTGATGCGTCTTCTGATGATCACCGACTCGATTCGCTGGAGCCGTGACGTGTACGTGAAACATGCTACGGGCCAGCGACAGTACAAGCTCGACAACCCCCACTAAAGACCAAAAGCGATACCCATTTACTATCTCTGTGAAATGCTCTTTATGTGCCCCCATCTAATTCTAATCTCTCACAACATGTGTGAATTCGAATCTCATTTCTCACTCCTCAAATTTGACTGTAATTCTCCCAAATTGGCGCTTAACCGTCAATCTTGTATCCCTTTAATCGCGCCTGTGAACTTGTGTATTTCCGGCCCTCGGGCCGAGCATGTACTGAATAAAATTTAATCTGTTCTTATCGGCTTAATCTCCGGCATGTTTCGGTTTTCCGTAAATTACGGTTCGTAACTATCTGGAAATTTTTGCGTGAATTTGTTTCAAAAAAAAGATGGCGGATTTAATGGCGAATGGATTTATGTTTATTTAAGTTAATTAATGCTAGTTATCGATCTTACTACCGATCGCTGCGAAAACTACCGTACCTGGCCAACGACGAATAGTACGGTATTGCAGATGCAGGGGATGAGGAGTCGTGTTTCGATTGACAGCTGCCGTTGTGCCGTCAACGCCACCGGGGTCAGGGATGGGGAACGGCCGGCTGGTCGGGATTTTAGGTCTAAATCCTTGCTTTTAAAGGGGCTGTGAAGTGAGAAAATCTTGTCTTACTGCAAAAGTGATCACTGAAACTGACTAAATAATAAACGAATTTTTACTTCAAATTGCAAAGAAAAAAGTGAAATGTTTCATATTTTATTATCTTGCGTCAACCGGCCTGTCTATCTAATACATCTTTCTTAGGTCATCTTTAGCTTCATCAGTTTAATTTAATTTAAACAATAAAATAAAAATAACGAATTACCACGAAAAAACCAAAGAAGTTTCCAAAATTTCCACGTTGAAATAAATGTGTTTCAAATTAATTGGGTTTTACGGCTCGCTCAATCCCTATTATATCGCGCAAATACCGCGGAATTTATTAATTTTCTGCTGTTTCCTATAAATCCCGAAATTCCTAACAACTTAATAGTAAGCACTTTCATTATCTTTTTAGTAAATTTAAACTGCATTTAAAACCGAAAACTGTAAAAATTTTTGACAAAAAATTTCGTTCGAAAAACCTATATTTTTGTATCTTGAATCATACTTAAGTTAAATTTAGGCAAACTTAAGTTAAAATTAGAGAGACTACTACTAATTTTGTCACGTACCAACAATCCTCTTACGTTGTCTCTTGAAGAGGACGGCCAATGCAGCTGCGTAGAATGGGAATGGCAGCACCATTAACGCGACGTTTAGGGAGAGGTAGTAAGAGGCTGTCCCATCTGAAAATACTTCCAATTAAATTCAATAATGTTAATTAAACCATTTTTAGTCACTAATTTAGCGATTTCCGAGTTATTTTTAGTCGATTTCGTATATTCTTTAAAAACTAATTTTTAAAGTCCAAAATTCTCCCGTCTAATACGCTTGCTAAAGTGGCATCATCGGTATAATTTAATAAAACATAATCCTTCGCAACTTTAATAAGATTAAGTTTAAACTTCCAATTAAATCTAATAAGTTTAACTCGGTTGTACAATCTAAATCTAAACAAGTTTAATTGACTTATTGAGTTGATCGTAGTTTTAAAGGGACGCATAAGGATTGATTCCTATGTTTTTAGCTCTCTTTTTTATCGCAACGCGGCCGCCGCACGCCAACTATGAAAGGGATGTAACCGATTACGCTACGAAAACCGAGCGTGTGCGTTGCGGCATTGTTTCAAAAAATGGTGCACGGCTGATTATACTAGCCATATAGCAGAATTTCGTAAAGTATATATTTGTTAAAACATATTTTTTAAATCCACCTGCCTCTTCATTATTATGATTCACCTGGCTGGAGGTGATGACATTATTTGGTGGAACATATTTTTATAAAATTCTTGTTTAACTTGTTTTACCGTAGAGAAAATCCCCATTTTTTAACTATTATAAGCCGAGATGCGAGCTAATCCTATCGATCATGAAAAAACAACATTTTTTAAGTAAAATTTGAAATTCTTTTGGTTATTTTTTCAATTTAAAATAAATTAAATTAAATTAATTAAATTTTCAAGGTTTTTTTGAATGTCCCCCTCAAACTAAATAAATGCTAAATGCTTAAAATTTAGGTTTTAACGTTGCAAAAAGAATTATTTATTTAATGTTGATATTTACAAGCAGACATTTTTAAATTTACGGTATTTTAATTTTAAATCCCCTCAAAATTCGCCACATCCTGGACCATAATTTCATAGGGTTTGGTTGAATGTTTCAAACGAGCAACATTCCCAGAAATTCGAGCCCATTTAAGTTTTTTTTAACGAAACACATTGTCGCAAAATAAAAATTTCCAAAAAAGTTGAAAACCAAGCAACCGAAATCAAAATGTTATGCTAAAATTAAGCAATTTAAACCACGTAAAATGAAAAATCCTTTATATTTTTATGCAATTAAAACAAACCGTTAACGTATCGCTTCCAATCGGCGTCCATGCCATACCGTTTCGGGTTATAGTAGAGCGGTTCGAACCATTGGAACTGAAAAACGTTTTGGACATTAAAAATTTGTTTAACGTGTTTTATTTTATACAATAAAAGCATTATAGATAAATAGAAAAAAAATTGCTGATTTGAAAATCCAAAAACAAATGTGTGCAAACCTGATGTTCCACGAGGCTTTGGACCAGTCCGAGAAACCAGGCCGATAGGCAGATCAGCACGCACGTTCCTGAAAAGTAGAAAGATAGATATACTTTAAATACAATCTTTAATGCGCTAAATCTACTCACCTAACTGCATTAATCTCATTAGTGACTTAAATTCTACTTAAATTTAATTTTCCTCACTAACATTGATCACGAGGTTTTGCTAAGCAGTGCTTTCGTCTTACAGCATGAAATTGTTCCAAATAGGCGGAAACCGTATCGGCCCATACACGAAACCAGCAATTTTTCCTCTGCTTTTCGTCAAGGTTTGAATCGCCGCGACCCCAGAAACTATTATGAGAATGAGATGTTTCAATATTTAATGGTTCAGAAGCATTAAGTGTTCAACAATTTGGAAAGACGATGAATATAGCTTATAAAGAAAAAACTAAATAACAAATCTTCATTTTAAGAATAAAATGTTTCAATTAATTTCCGGACGCTGGGCATCAGAGGGTACGGAATTCCTTTCTCTCGCTTAAAGCCCAAATTTTCTTAAATAAACAGGCGAAACATTTCTAATCGTTTTTACTACGTTTCACGCTTATTAATTTTATTAAATATACCAGGGCTGAAAAGCCGCTTCGCGACTTTTCAACCCTGGCCTCTCTGCGGGGCCCTTTGATGCACGGGCACTGCGTATTATAATTAGCATTACAATTACGAATTACGTTAGCGAACGGCACCACAGGAATTACTTGAGCAACCGACTCGGAACCCCGCAAAGCCTATAATGAGCCGAATTAATAGCCGTATGCAAATTAGTCTATTTCCATGTGTTTTTAAATCGCTAAAATAAGGTATAAAACGTCATTTTAGTAAAAATCTGATAAGCGCGCAGTAATCTACGCCCTCGATTACCCCTAAGCACTTTACTTCTGAACCATAAAATCCTCTTCCCTTCGAGTTATGGCTGGAACCCGGGTTTTTATGCAAAGTGTCCACACACACACACACACAGAAACTATTTTTTTATATATAGTAGGATACAAAACGATCGATTTTCCCACCACAATTTCCGTACTTTTAGATAGTGTTATACTTCCAAGATAGTTTAATTTTAGTAAAAACATTATTAAAATGCTTAGTATTAAATTCCGAGGCATTTTTAGATTAATACGAATAATTTGCTTTCCTTCCGCCTCCGATAATGCAAAAGAACCACGGATTCTTGCTTTTTTTGTATCATTATAGATTACTAAGAATTTTAGGGCGATTTAGTAAGCTTATTTCTTGAAGCTGAATGTTAAATAATAAATTATTTGATTGATATAATAAGAAATAATAGTAATCAATTGAATAATTTTAAAGAAATTTAACGTAAATGGGAGATTGAGTGATTTTAATCACTATTTTTGTGAATCGAAATTAAAAGAAGTGTTAACTGGAAATTGTTCGATTTGCGACCCAGTCATGAATTCTCGTTATATGAAACATACCATTTTGGAGGGTGCGAAACCAGTTTGGCCACTGAACCGCGGCCCATCGGGACCATGCCACGATCGAGTAATGGTATACCATTGCCCACCTTAAATACAGGGTTTGCTTTATTATATTCTGCAAATTTAAAAATAGACATTTTATATAACCGCCAAGTTTATATATGAGTATTACCAATTATTTTGTTGTATCTTTTTTTATCTCTGAAAAAATTCTATCACATTTTTAGAAAAAAAATCACGATATGTTTTATTGTTTATATCATACATTTATTTATTCATATTTCTTTTTATATATGTAAGTGTTATTTTTAATTGGGTTTATTTATTTTGGCTTGAAGTTTAAATGTTGCAAAAAAATTTTGTGTTAAAGGCTCCAAGTTTTTTTTGTAATGCGCAGAACTGGCTTTGTTTCACGGATTTTACGGTGAAATTCTAGTAAACCATTTATCTTTTTCGTCTTTAGCGCCTCTTCCTAAATGATCTCTGCTAGTCTGCCTGCTCAGGAATTTATTAAGATTCCTGGGGCGATAAATGCTGCTTTTATCCTAAATTTTCTCAGCTAGCTTACCTGGACCGTTAACGATTTTTGCATGCTAGTTTATTAAATTTGTAAGCTACAGACTGTTTGCCAATTTAGGGACCTAACAATTATAAAAGGAATCAAAATTTCGAAAAGATGTTTCAAAATATTATGCAGTTCAGGCATCAACTTTTTTATGATGAAGTCGACGAAGCGTGGGGCTCAAAAAAATACTACCGAAAATATGATTTTTTTAAGCCATGTGCCCTAAATCATCTGTGCTAGCCTGCCTTACCAAGAATTTTCTCAATTTCCTGCGAGTTTGCCTTCATTCGTAAAAATTTTAAATTTTAGTATACTCTTTTAAGTTAACTTTTTACATACCACGTAAAATCGAGATAAACATGCAGATGCCATCGCCACGTTTCGGGGATCAATTCGTGTTGGCAGAGGATGATCAGCCCCGGCCAGATGCCGAACTGAAATCAGTAAATTAAAAAGGGTGCTGGTTCGTTAGCGGGGGGGGGTTAAAGGGACGTCCCAGCATATATAATCAGTAAAAAACCACAGTTTGCCTTGCCCGTCCCTTTCAAGAGCCAATTTTTACATTTAGCCTACTAGCGAAATTGAGAAAATTAGGTAAGGCACTCAGAAAAATGATGGAATTTTTTTGAAACATTTTTCTGCAATAATCGAAGTTATTCTAATTTTTAAATTAAAATATTGACCTGCAAACATTGAGATACCTCGATTTTCCCCAAAAATCACTAACAAATGCGGGGCATTTTAGCAATTTCGCTCGCAACCGTAATACGTTAACTCACCAAACTGCGAATAAATTGCCCATAGCCTTCGAAACTTCAAAATTTTCAGAAACACTCTTTTTGAAAATCATTCCTTCTTTTCGTAGGCGCCGCAATTTGCCTTTACGCCGTATCGGGAAGGGAGGATTTTTTCTAATGCCTATCAACTTAATAGGGAGTATTTCAAAAGTGTTTTTGATAAAATAAAACTGTACTTCAACCAGAAAAACTGTCTAAAACGTTCAAAATTTTTGTTTAGTTTAGAAACAGTAAAAAACATTTTAAAACTCCGCTATTCATATTTAGAAAATTGGTTTCAAAAATAATAATTAGAAGCAATGAAACGGCCGTTGAGCTTATTAATTGCGCAAATTCTTACTCGACGGCCCCTCCAGCCAAAACACATTTTTCATACCCCAAATTTTTTGTGCGGAGCACGAGGATGTTGATATTTGTAGCGCGTGGGCCCACGGGGTGAAGCCGTGTGCGAAAATGAAATCTGAGAAGAGGGTGAGAGAGAGAAAGAGAGAAAGAGGGAGAGAGAGAGAGAGAGAGCGAGAGAGAGAGAGAGAGAGAGAGAGAGAGAGAGAGAGAGAGAGCGTGATTCTGAACACTAGACGTCCCCGCTCAAAATCCCCGTGGTCCCAATTTCCGGATGTCTGAGCCCGGGGATTTAAAGGGACTGTGAAGTCAGCGGTTGGCAGGCTAGCAGAGATCCTTCTGGATAAATGAATTGATTTTTCGCCAAATTGCTACAAGGGCAACGATCAGAAACCTATGCGACGATGAAACCCTGGCAAGCTTGCAGAGACCCTTGAGGAGTCCCCTCTCTCCGTCCAAAAAATGTAAAACTCGCCTGTATCATCAGCAAAATGTCGGAGATGGCCTGTGAGATGAGAAATCTAAAGGAATATCGTATTTTTTTGATGTTTAAATACATTTTTATAATTATTGATTTTTAACTTTAAATCTCGCAGCGTAGTTCGAATTTAAAAACATGGGTTTCGTGAATTTCCCACAAATTTACCGAAGACAAGTCTGTGTCAAGTGATTAGTCCCTCTGGACCGCTCCTCCAGCGGCAAAACCCATAGCCTTCCCTTGCGCGCCCCTAAAGCGGCTATCACAATTTTTAAATTTCTTTTCGTGAAAAATTGCAAATTGTTTGGCAAGAGGGTCAAATCAGAATGGCCAAATCGTTCCAAAAAGGATGTGATATGAAACATTTGAGAATGCCCGTTCAAAAATTTTGTAATTCTTTTACACATTATTGTTCGAAAAAACATTGTTCCAAACCAAAATTAATGTTTTTCATTTTGATAATTTTTACGCATTTTGAACTTTAGCAAATGGCTCGAAAGCGAAGTTGAGCGCTCGAATTTTGAAGCAATTGTATAGCGGCATTGCGCATTCCCGGGACTACGCTCAAAGCAGTCATTTTTAAAAAGGATGTTTCATGAAACATTCGAAAATATCGGCTCCAAATCGTCCGTAATCTCTCTCTCGCCGTGCCACTTATTTTCAACTACAGCTTTTTCCAAGTATAATTTTTCTTTTTTTTGCGTGAATAGGTGGCTATTTTCCGGAAATTATTCCGGAAATAGTCTTTTTCCATCTGGGTGTTTAAAAAATAAATTAGTCCGATAAAAATCCGATAAAAATACTTGCAGCACAAAAAAGGACGTCAATTCAGGGTCAGGCCCGTTTTCAAAAAGCATGTTACATAAAACATTCAAAAATAATCAACCAAAATTATGCCTAATTACTGCTTGGGATCAGATCCTATCATAATGTCGAAATTGATAATATCGACATTTCAGAATGTCGAAACTCAGAATTTCGACAATTTTTTGCATGCGATCGGGGGATATTCGCTTATGTAAATTTCGAGATCAGGAATCACGACGTTCTGAAATTTCGGCATTATCAATTTCGCAATTTGCAATAAAAGTAACCCCCCTTGGGAATACGTGACTTCCTAAATAACTTTTTTTAAACCAACATTACCACTTTTTCACCTATATACAAAATTCTCTTCCTACCTGAAGCCGACAATTTCGTGGCACATCCGGATCATAGAATACGTGATGGCAACGTATAAAATAACGCCGACAAGCCCGACAATTATCAATATCAACCCGGCCAGCGCATCCTCGCCCGTCATCTGAAATACACCGGTGTAAAATGATGTGTTTCGTTTCGGGAAGTCAAGCAAAATGAGAAAAGAAGCGGGAGTACGTGTCTAACAAACTTTTGAAAAATCTATTTAAGTTTACCATGTGTTCTTAAAACTTTTTCGCTATTTAAATAATTTAAACCTCTTTAAACCTTTAAAATTTAAGCATTTTAAAATGTTTTTCATCTAAAATCGTATTTTAAGCCGTGAAATCCATTTTTTTGATTCATTTAATTCCGTTAAATTAAGCGCGGATTATTATTATTATTTATCTTTTAGTGAATTAAATGATAGCAACATACTGCAAAATAGATGGGAGAATTTATAAAAAGATAGATTGTGATTGACAAAACATTAATTCGAAAAACGGCGCATCAGAGGAAATTTTGATAAAACATTGAATTTAAAAACTTCGATATTGTCGAATTGATTTTGCAATTTTTTACCGAATTGTTGAATTTAAAAAATCAGCGCGGAGGTCTTCGTGTCACCGGGTTAGAAAAACTTTTAAAATCATTAATTGTCGGCCGCTCAGCCTTGCCATTTTTTACCACTAATGTTTTTATAACAGCTTTTCTAGAACTCGATAACACCTGTGGGATCCATTAATGATGCACCATTTTTCCGGTTTATAATTTTTGATGAAACAATATTTTTTTAAAGTTTGGTGATACTAATACGACGAATACGCTGTTATTAGAGGAATACTATAGCGTATCATTCGTAACAAGTAACGGAAACCTGGAACTAGACGTTTCGAAAACGCGTAGCTGCCGAGTGAGCCAGCCAGGTGATCCAAAAAAATAAAATGTTATCAAAAAATTTCCAACATTTTTACTCAGCCCATTGCCCGTACTCAATTCTTTTTGACATCGATTTTTTGCGAAACATTTTTGGGCAAATCCGAATTAGCTTTCTAACATCTATCTCTATGGAGCATTTTTTGGAGCATCTCCGGTCTTTGCTACATTATAATCCATCTGCCGTCGAGACAAATTTGTCCTGTTTATGGAAAAGCTTCCGAGCAACACCATTGGTGTCAAGCGTAATTTCATGACATTAACCACTTGTGAAACATTTTTTAGCTAAAATCGGAAATCGCTCCTACTGGAACTGTACTTTATTCAAAGTTTAATACTTTATAGTACTAAAATGTTTGATTTTAAATTAACTTCTAAATTTAATTGAATTGATATATTGAAAATTTAATTAATTTAAAAACAAGAAGATTCAATCTAAGACTAATAAAATAACAAGTGACGTCGAACAAAATTATAGTCAGGTAACTTTCGGATTTTTAAATGTTTATGGAACACTTTTTTGAAGTGAGGAAAGTGGTTGAGAATACTATAGCGTATCGGTTGCACAAAATCCCCTGGCGAATTTCGGGGATTGAGGCTGATGATCCACTGGGGGGGGGTATTTTTCAGAACGGGAGAAGCGGGTAGAGGAGGAGAAGAAGAAGTGGCATATTTGCTTATTTGGATTGATATTGGAAGGGAATGGGAAAGAGAGCGAGAGAGAGAGAGAGAGAGAGAGACCGAGGGGCTAGAGTTCATAATATCTCCACGTGGGGGGATGCTTTTCGGATGGATATAACCGGATAATACGGTAGGGCGGAGGGGGCTAGCAGAGACCAATTTGGAAAACGAGCAAAAACGCTTAAAATACACCATGTTTATTTTGTAGCGAGTAGGTGTGGAATTCCGAAAATGCGAGGATTGTATTAATTCGTAATTCGTAACCTACGATGCCCATTTTGTCTGAAACATCAGCCCCTGAACCGTGGAAAACCAAAAATTTAATATTCTGAAGTAAAACTCTGAAACATCGCAATTTTGATTGCCGGGCAGACCAGCAGAAATCCTTTGAGAATATTGAGGCGTTTATTTTCACTTGCAAGATGCTTGCAGAGACAATTTGAGGAAATTGGAACATTTTGGTATACCCCATTAAAAAGTAATTTCCGACTCTCAAGTCTCATTTTTTTCAAACATCAATTTCTAAGATATGGGACCAAAATAAACGCAATTTTTCGGTTCAGGAGATTCAAGGCCATAAATACAGGGCATGCTAGCAGCGATCTTTTGAGAATTATCGACGCCCGCTTCACGCTGACTGTAAGAGGCTAGCAGAGACCATGTGGGGAAATCCTAAATGTCGCTACATTAAATAGCGTTTTCTAGTTTCTAAGTCCAACTTTTTGGAAACATCAATTTTTTTGAAGGCGAGAAGCTAATAAACGAACAAATTGTTTGTCGAAAAACATGAATGTTTCGAAAACAGGGGAAACGAGCATCCATTTTTTCGGCAGAAAATGTCTGTTTTGTTTTTACCTACAAGAACTAACAAAGAAAATCTGAGGAAATTTCACGATCAATTTCGCCAGACTAAACGACCGTCGAGTCTAATTTTTGTGCAACATCAATTTTCACGTCCCGGGACTATCACAAATCAAATTCTGGGCAAGCTAGTAAAAAATTCCTCACAATTGTCAGCGGTTCGGAACATTCAAATGGCTCCATTAAATTGGGGTTTCGATTTTACAGGTTCAATTCTTCTGTAACATCACTTTTCCATAGTCCGCGAACCAAATAAACAGACAATTTGCTGGGAATAAATAAGAAAATCGATACTTGGGCTACCGGGCAAACTAGCAGAGAGCATTTGCGGGCTACTTTTTGCCGGAACTCCATGTTTTAAATCAGTTTTGCCAAGTTGACATTGGTCAATTGACAAATTTTGCAAAAGCACAAGGAGGCAACAACACAAAATCTGTAGCCATCAAAGGAAAAGAAAACAAAGTAAAAAAATACATAAAAATTCGGGCGGCGGGCAAGCTAGCAGAGATTATTTGTCAAAACAGTGGCAAAAATCTGTGAATTTCGAGTTTCGGATTGGTTTTGCAAGGCCAGCTCCTATTCAGGCTACTGATCGCGTTTGCCTGTTGCGATTATATGAAACATAGTTTTCATAAAGTTACAATTTTCTGCGAGAATCCCGGCGTTTCTATATTTGACGCTAATTAAATTATTTTACGTTAATTTCAGTCTAAATTAATCGGTATTTTACGAAATTATGCCAACAACGAATGCCAAAAATATCTGAGGGTTGGAGCTGGGGTTCTTCAAACATCAAAAAAATTCATCAATTGCAGCTGCAGTCAGCATTTTTTGCCCAAAATTTTGCAAAACATATTTTTAAATAAACCTCCGCTAATATGCCAAAATTAACGAAAAGTAAGTCATATAAAAATTCGGGCGGCGAGGGGCAATCTAGCAAGGATTATTTGCCAAAAACTAGTGGAAATATCTGGGGGTTTTGCAGGGCGGTTTATCCCACATCTTATCGAACATTTTTTTAAGAAACCGCAAGTCAAAAAATGAATGAACGTAAAAACCAATAAAATTCCGGGCGGCGAGGGCAAGCTAGCAGAGGTTGTTTGTTAAAAACCGGCAGAGAAGATGATCCCGGCACAATGCAATAAATCTACTCATCAAATCGGCGTATTGAGCCTAGATGAAACATAGCTTTTTCGCGAGTTCCAATTTTTGCGAGAATCCGCTGCTTCCAGATTCAAAGTGAAATTGAGCTTAAAATGATTGTAAAACTCGAATTCGTGCGAAAAAGCAATCCAAAAATATCTGAGGGTGTTGAGGGGCGGAATCCTGAATAAACACGGTCAAGTGACATTCGAGATGCCCTGCTAGGAGATGCGGCTAGAAGCGGAAATGGGGACGGCACGTGAAAATCATCATGTCGAATTGCACCCACAAAAATTTTGTGCATGCATGTGCTTTCCAGAAAAATGTTTCGAAAATTTAATGAGTTGGAAATTTTTTTGCCGTTTTAATTTAGGGTTAGCAGTATGAAAAAACAAATATCAAATAAAACATAAAATAAATAAAATCCAAAATATAAAATACATAGCCGCTAAAATATATAAAATTTCTCAGCTATTTGATACAACGATATTTGAATAGCTACACCAAAAAAATTCAATATTTTTGAAACCTTTCAACTTTTAAAAGAACTTCAAAATGCCGTGTTGTTTTCGGATAAATTTATTAAAATTATTAAGCTTTATTTAACCGAGAAAAATTGTCTGGCTTATTTATGGGCGCTAAGTGCCTTAAATTAATTCGAAAAAACTGGCATTGGATAGGAAAATAGCCGAAACATTGACACCTAATTTTCGATTGCTTCGCGCGTTCTTGTCTAATGCGCCCAAGTTATTCCCGCGAATATGGACTTTTATTGAAATCTAAACCCATACAAATAAACGTTGAAGCTAAAATTAACCATAAAACCCCGAAAATGCCATATGTAAAAAACGGGGGAGTGAGTACCATAACCAACCGTAAAAAACCGGGAAATAATAATTTTTTATGAAACATCAAATTCTTCCCGAAAAATTGTTGACTAAATCGCCTAAACTTTTGTTATTTGAATTTTATTGGTTCAATTAGTTTAATTTTATATCTTTAATACAAATTAATTTCAATACTAGTAAAATAATCTTTTAATTGAATCGAAAAACTTCCTGAAGCTTCTAGACAGCAAATCCGCGGCCGGAATTTTTTGAAAGCCAAATCCCATTCAAACCTCAAAACAAAAATCCCTTTGAAATGTTTGACTGAGCAATAATTCGATATCAAACTTTAAAAAAATATCTGAAAGAAGAAAGAATTCACATTAAACCCGAGAAAAAATCCGAAATCAATAATTTTTATGAAAGATCGGAATTGTCTCCCGAAATCTGAAATCACCTTTGCTATTTTAGAGCTGTAGATTTTTTGATATATCCGATAGGTTTAATTTACAAGTTAGAACTACTAGATTTAAAAACATTACAATCTTGCCTAAATAAAATCTATTAATTTACTCAAAAACGAGCTGAAAATCCCATTTAGCAAATCCGGGGCGCCAGAGCGAAAACTGGGTAGGAAGGGTTCAAATTTCAGGAATTGAAATGTTCGCTGAAACAC